CAAGGAGAGTTGCGATAAGGAAATATGGGGAACTGAATTACCATTTCAGAAAATCTGTTCTGAGCAAGTCAGAGCTTACCTTAAGGGGAGGGGTAAAAATCTGGAAATGGGAGGTACAATGGTAAGAAAACAAGTGTGCACATAACCAAATCCGTTCACCCCCAAACACCCAAGAGGCCCTAGCAGGGAGCATGTACTTACACAGGAAACTCCTAAACTTTTCTCTCCAAGAAGCCCTGTTTAAAACAGACTCCAAACAGTGTTCTTGCAAGTACGTGTGCATGCATACACACAAGGGGCCGGGGATCTTCTAACCTGTACTAAAGCTCAAGGGATTCTAGGTTTTTCCCCAGACAATAGCTTTGAGTGAGGGACCAAGAAACAGCCTAATACCAAGAGTTATCTGGCCAGGCCAGAACAGAAAGCAGAGCATGGAGATGAAAGAGCCAGTAGTCCCCATTCAAGAAACCTAAAAGCACAATTAAGAACTTCTGCCAAACGTTAAGACACTGTTAAAGCCACTCACTACATGTCTACCAAACTTTAGGTCCCTGGTATACCCAAGCCCTTTCCCAGTGCTGCAGCATCAGTAAGCTGGGAAGCGGCCTGGTCATCTGACCGCATAAAACAGAACTCATAGGCGACAAGAGAAAGGGAGATTAAATTCAGGCTTGGTGCTTCCGCTAAAGGCCAAACCCACAACACAGCCTGCACACAAGTGCTCACTTTATGGGTGCTCTTCTGTAACCCGGAGGAGCTATCCAAGGGGGGGTGGGGGGGATCCACAAGCTGCCTGACCCTTTGATGTTCTGAAATGGAATATTTCCACTTGGGATCCCCAGAATCTGTTACAGAGGCCACTGCCTTCCGGCTTCTCTAAACACCTATACTGCAGGCATCTGTCTCATTTCCTGTGAGGGAAAACTGAAGCCCTCTGTGCCTCTCCACTCCACACCCTCTGCGTTTCTGAATCTTTGCACTGGATCAAAACTGAACAGAATGTTTAGTTTTCACTGGACCAGGAGGAAAGGAATAAGGTGAGAACGATTACATCTTAAGTAGGATAGTATCTCCAAATAATGAGCCAAGAGCCAAGAACCACGAGAAGTTGAAGCCAAAGCCACATATTACCTAAGGATATCCTCAAATTCCAAAGCATACACACATATACCCGAAAACAGATGTAGTTTGGGAACTGTCCATACAAGACAAAACACAGGATAACTAGTACATCAAGAAAAATCAACTGTAGCACCCAGTTCTTAGAGCCTATGGATACATTTGGTGGTAATGTTTGGATGCAGGCAGAAGCCCAAGTGGCCAATGAGACTGTGTCCTAGTGGTGGTGCCCACCCTGAGGCAGAAGGGACAGAAAAGCTTGCTGTCTGTACTGCTGCCTCTAGACAGACACACCTTTTGGCTCTCAGGGAACACTGTCCATACAATATGAACACTAGTATCTTCTAACTAAAACATGTCGTACACAGAGCTTGCACAGTTCTCCAGCTAAATGGGCCCAGGCACCATCTCCCCAATGAGACGTCCTATGTCAGGATTTGGTGACTGCAGATAGAATGCAGAGTCCTTAAGATGAGATGTGAGAAAATGACATTTTTGGAGTGCCTGATGCAATTCTTTTGGACTAGTTATTTGGAAGGAATGAGTGACATATCTAAGGGATAAAACATGGGGACCCAGAAAACCTGTTTCAGAGTTCCTTTTCCTCCTCTTGTCAGAGGCCTGCACCAGCCAAATGACTGTTTTCTGGGAACTACTGGGTTGTAGGTTTTTCAGTTATCCAAAGTGCATCACCTCATAATGGGGGAAAAAAAAAACCCATTTTATAGGCAGAAGAAATGAAGCAAAATGACGGCTCCTGTTTCAGGTTCAGATGTTCAGTCCCCAAAATACTAATTGTCAGTGGATCTCACAACTTCTGTCAAAAGGCTATTAGAAGCAAAGCTGCCAGGAACTGTGACATGCAGTTCTATGTTCTAACTGCTAAAGGGAAAGTGGCCACGGAGACTGTAATTCATGCTCTGCACGGACATGTACCTCCCTGGTCACTATTCTAGTCTCTTCCACTCAGAAGGACCCACACTGTGAGCAGCAGGATTAAGGAAGGGGTGGCCCCAGACCACAGCAACACTAGCAACTGTGCTGGCTCAAACAAGAGCAGGGAGACGCTGCTGCTGCCACAGAAGGGATAGGACAGGAACAGAGGTTTACCCTGATGCTCACCCTCCCGCCCACCCCGAGGCCGAATTAGGCCAGAGCTTTTTGTGAGCTCCACTCCCCCTAGAGCCCTGGAGATACATGGGTACCTCCCCAATCTCAACCTGTTGCAAAACCTAGAAAGAAGTATCTAGAACGCACAGTCTATTGATTTTATATGGATTAGCTTAGATTTCCATGACATCAAGCATTCTAAAATTTTGTGGAATAAACGAGTGGTTTAAGAACAGAGAAGGAAGGCAGGTAAAAAATGTTAACTTCTCATTTCCCACTCATTCACCTCCTAAAGAAGGTAAAAAGAAATTTCCAGCTCTAACTGCTTATATTAATGGCAGATAATGCCAAACAACAAAGTAGAGGGCGGCAGGAACACAGGACAGAACTCTTCTTGTTAGGATGCGGTCAGTAGGCCAAACACTGCTCTTTCCGTTTCCAGTCCGGCTCTGCTGGTGAACTACAGGCATTCCCAGGGAGTGGAAGGGGCTCTTTCCCTGTCTTCATCCATTCACCCTTCTAGCCCCCCTAAAGGCAGGGTGGAGAGCCGTTCTCCATCCTCACCCTCCTGCCAGTCACTATCACCTCAGATCAACCAAACTGCAAACCCCACCACCCCACACAGACACAACAAACAAAAAACAAGGACATTTTCACAACATACTTGATGTGGAACCAAAGTCAAGATGAGATACTAAAGTCATCTGGGTCATTTAGTAACTTCCAAGAACCAAAACCAGATCACCCTAGCCAGAGTCTAGACTGCTTTTAAAGGTCTCCAGAGAAACAGAATCAAAACCACTCTTGCTTGCTTATATACCAGAAACAAATTTTGCTGGGAGCTTTCAGTTGGGATAGCTAAATCGGCGGGACAGAATGATGGGGCTGTGGTGCCTTCCCCCTACCCCTCCCTCAACCCAACCACTGAGGCCTGTCTGAGGATGAAGACAGACAAAGAGCAGAGCTGAGGGATGCGGAGGGGTTAAGTCCTGAGGACACAGCTGGAGCCCCCAAACCCAGCCAAGCCTAACTCAACTTCTCCATAACCCGAGTTAATATAGTTCCACTTACAACTCTTCTGCTTTTGTTTTTTGTTTCCCAAACAAATATATCCTTCCATTGAAATACCCTCCACACAGTCTCTATATTATTAAACATGATTATTTGTCGAGATCAGCTTTCTCCTAAAGCATCCTGAGTTTCAATATCCTTTTAATAGATGTTAATTCTTAAAAATCATCCATGTTGCGCCTCAAAAACCTACAAGTAGGCAGTGGTCTTACTTTTTTGTCCTGGTCAATTTCCTGAAAACACCTTGCAAGTTTAGTGGGGTGAAGATATAACTGGATATCGTCTACTGAGAACTTGGTACGTGACGAGTACCACGAGTGCTAATGCTCTGGCTGGACTGTCTCACTGAATTCAGCGAGACAGCTGCTTGTGCGATCTTCACTTACAAATGAGGAAACTGAAGAACAAAGTAACACGGCCAGCAGACACTATGTTCTCAGCCCGGACGCCAAGCTGTCTCTCAGATACCAGGTTAAGGCAGACAAGACACAAAACCAGCTCAATCTCAGGTCCATTTCAGGGTGAGACTTCTCCAAACAAGCAGGAAGAGCAGGAAATCTGCCCTCCTCAATTTTCCGTTACCTAAGTCAAAAAGTCCTCCCTTTCTCTTAATTTGCTTTCAAAAAGAGCAGACTCTTCATGATCATGATTTTTTTCTTTTATAAGATCGCCCACAGCCAGGAGCGGGGCTTCGTCCCACCTTTCTCAGTGGTGCCGGTCCCGTTCTCTATCCCGGTGTCTCTCGTGCTCCCGGTTCCTTTCTTGGAAATACTCATCATGCCGATCTTCGTTATGAAGCAGGTCCCGATGCCTCCTGCTGCTCTCCCGGGACCGGCTAGGTGACCTCTCTCGGGACCGATGTCTTTTCCTATTAGAAAGATCCTTCAGCCTCACTCGGAGGACCTACCACATGCCTTCCAAGAGTGTTGTGTTTTCGTGTTTCCGGTATTTGTCTGAACCACTTTTCTACTATGGGCCCAATGTCTGAGAATGTTAGCTCTTTGAGGACTGCTAGTCTTTTTTTGGGAAAATATTAACAGTCAAATGTGTTGAGATCTTACTAATGCATCAGGCACAGTGCTAGGAGCTTTACATGCTTATCTCACCTAATCTCTACAATAGATCTCTAAGAGAAGTACTGCTATTGTCCCTTTTCCAAAGACGAGAAGAGTGTTTAGAAAGCTGACTGACTGCTATACTCAAAGCCATACAAGTACTTGGGAGCAAAACTAGATCTGAATCCAAGCACGTATGGCTTCAAAGCCCATGTTCTTAGCCATCCACCAGTCTATATTCCTAAACAGCCCGCTGCCTCACCGTGCTGGGTGACAACACGGACTGCACACGTTACGGCATGTGTTGATGCAGATGCTTGATTAATTCCGTCCCCTTAAAGACACCAGGGCGAGGCCGGCTCTTCCAGCCAGGGCCTTGCCAGCTCCCCTGGGCTCTCTTCCTCCCCCTGCCAATCCCTGGAAGAGTGCTGCTTGCGGCTGGCAGGCTGCTGAAGCAACCAACAACTCACCTGGACGAGCTCCCGCTGGCACCCACACTGTAGGACTTGGCTTCAATGCCATGAAGACAGTCCTTAAGAGAGGAGATGAGGACACGGCAACGCTCATCATTGGCGACCCGGGACTGTTTGATAACAGCAATGGCTGTGAGCAGCGTCTCAATCGCGTCACTGTAATCCCCTGACAGGGGACGGATGGGAAAGGCCAAGGATGAGCAGAGGCAGTAAACTAACTGGACCGAAAGGAGAACTCAGGAGGACACAAAGCAAGAGTAACTAGTTGTCCCACAGAACCATGGTAAGATGGATGAGGCTTAAGCGGCAGGTAGAAGAGTAGACGGCACCTATATTCCAACAGTCTGCAATCAGACAGGTTCTCGGATGTTGCCAGTGGAGGTACAAACCGGGGCAGGGTGGTCTGAGGGTGATCTGACAATATCCATTACAATAAACAATGTGCATACTTTCTGACCCAGCAATTCTAAGAATATTCTACTTCTGTTCACAAGTATGTATGCTTAACAATGTTATGTTTCACCATTATTTTATCAAAAAATTAGACATAACCTAAAAGTTGCTTCAGTAGGGTGCTATATAAACTATGGGATGTTGGTTTTATAAAATACTACATAGTTGTTAAAAAGCACACAATACATCTACAGGTAAACAAAGTAATCCACGTAAAGCGCTTAGCACAGTGCCAGGCACACAGTAAGGGCTCGATAAACATTAGGCATTATTATATATTGACAGATGTCCAGAATATATTAATTTCTAAAAATCTGCAAAAACAGTATTCCGTTTTTGTAAAAAGAATAAAAATTCTATATATGTTGTCCTATGCACAGAAAAAAAAAAATCTGAGGGACAGACACTAAATTGTAGAAGGTGGTCTTGGTGGTGGTCCTTGTATAGACTTTTATTAATTACCACTGCACGTTTCTAAGTCTGAATTACTTTGAATCTATAATCAGATGTGTACACATGTATATGTAATGTATATCTAACACGTCTATATGTGGAGTGTATTCATACATATGTATTTTTTAAATTATGCTGCCATCAAGAACTAGCCCCTTCATTCCCCAAAGGTGAGCAGTGCTTGGCTCAGGGATCATGGTCAGGGGCTGGCTACTTGCAGAATGCTTTCCCAAGCTAAATCTAGCACATCCAGACAGAAGATAATGCGAGGAAAGCATGAAACCAGACAGGGGTCCAGTGATGAGGACTGGCAGCCTCCTTTGTGCAGGGCAGTGAGAAGAGATCAGAAACTGTGGAGGAACTTTGATTCTGTGGAGGTCCAGGAACACCAGGATGTCAGCTCTACTGGGATGGGGAATTTCTGCTTATTTTTAGGCATTCATTAAGTATTTGTGGTTTGAATGACTTAAATGAGAACAAAAAGGAAGGGAGATAGAGATTCAGTTACTGATTTCTCTAAGTGAAGGAGCTGATAAGGAAGTACAATGATTATTTCCTTTATACTCCTCTGTATATTGGACTTGTTAAAATGAGCACAGATTACTTTCTAATTAAAAAATCCTTCAGATGTCAATGAAAGTTTTCTGGAGGGAAAAAAAAAAAAAAGAGAGAGAATACATGTATTTCCTGTCTTTAACCTACTCTGTGGATTCAAATTTTGCAGCCAAAGATGAGAAATTACAGAAAACAGATGGTAATATTTAGTGTTAACTTACTTCTTAGGAGATCTGACAGTCTACATTTACATTAATGTGGGAAACTCACAAGAAGGAAGCGAGTATGACTCATATCATAATGTGAAACTTGGACCAGAACCCTATAAAGAACCAAAGATTCCATGCCAGGGCTCTCCGAGTCACAGCTTCTGGTTCTGCCCACTTAATACTGACAGCAGGGCAGAAGTTAGCTGTAAGGACATACTATCTCTTACGATGACACCCAACAGACTTGCCTCTTTCTAGGATAGGCTACAGGGAGGCCAGCAGTTCTGTCTAGACCCCAAATATAAAGAGATTCCATATCAAACCACATCTAGTTGGGGTATCAGTCCTAAAAAAACCTGGGATCTATACTAGGCACTACAAAGACACTAGGTCCACTGATGAACCACTGAGATCTCCAAAAGGCCAGGAATTTCATTCTACAACAAAAACTACAATCAGATACTATTAGTTATTTATAATCTAGTCACTAAGTTTGTCTTCATGGGGCAGGTCTGGATACAGACTAACTACCACCACTAGAGCTTCCCCAAAGCCGTTCAAGCAGGTTATATATTACCCAAAATGTGCCACTCCAGAGAATCTAACAGAGCTCCAATTTTATCCTGTTGAACTTCTTGCCAATGGAAATGACAAAACATGGAAAAACTAAAGGTAAGGAGAAAATGGCAAAGATAAGGGTGAGTTACCTGCACTGGCTCCAGCTACCGCTTTGGAAATGGCACTGCTGGAAATTGCTCTATTTCGCTTCATGATCTCTTCAAATTCTGCTTCACTCACTGTAGAGGGCGGAGGGCCCGAATCTCGGCTGCACAGAAATAATACCATTCCTGATTGCCCACACTTCTTATTATCTTTACCAGATCCTACCATACAGTGTCAATCATGCTCTCCTACATAATGTCTTAAATGCTTCTCAGCCTGCTCACGTTTTATGTGTTCACATTCTCTTCAAGGACAGGATTTACAACATATTCTTTTGTAATTCTGGCGTGACCCGATAGCGCTAGACATTCACAGCAACCCTAACAGCCACATACAGCACTTGATTTAATCAAGCTCCTTAAAAAGGGATGCGGAAGACATGGTTTGGGTCAAGAGACTTAGATGCAAATGAAACACCAAATAAAAAAACATTATCTAACAGATGGTTAACTATTTCCCAGGACTCAATACTATGACAACAGAGTTTCCACAAGGGAGAACACAAGAATTCACACTCACTTCCTCAGGGAGAATAAAATGCTTAACACATGGTGTGCCCTACTATACCTGGCTCAGATCTGAAAGGAACAAGATAGTCCTTACCTGCCATGGTGGTTATAGGGTGCGGAGGCCTTCATGTAAGTATCTGGTGGAGGCCCCACTGTAGCATTTGGTGGGGGGAAGAAGGCTGGATTGAGGTGAAGGGCAGGTGGGATGGCCCCAGGGGGAGGTACAGCCAGATGAGGAGGTAATCGAGGAGGAGGGGGCATGAGATGCTGGTAGTGGATGCCAGGAGGAGGAGGAGGGACCCCAAAACTTGAGGAGAGAGGAGGAGGAGGTGGAATTGGGGGTGGGGGCAAACCCATCAGGGGGAGGGCTGAAGGAGGGCGATTGAAGTAGGGTAGCACACTGGGGGGCTTATCCACACGGGCCGATGAGGGTACAAGGTTCTCAGAGGGTGTGGCCCGTCCATCAGCAGAATCACTAGAATCCCGGGAATGGGCCCGTGGAGGTATTCCTATGAAGGAAAACAGAACTAACGTTACTGCCCAAAGCTTTACATGTACCCATGGAACCAGATCATCCTTCAGGAAGAGTCCTCTGACACCATACTGAAGAAGGCGACAGGCACCTGAGAAAGAAGGTAAAATCATCTACTCCTTTTTCTTTGGCCTCAGAAAGAAAGGGCAGAGGCAAGTTAGTTAAGTCATAAACCCAGAAAGCAGTTATCACCAATTCCATGTCAAAGAATGCTCTTTATCTAGAACTTTATGCTTCACACTTAATTTATCCTTCGATTTGTCTTCTATTTCTAAATGCAGGACCCTAATTAATGCATGAGAAAATGACACTGTTGAGAAGTATGTTCATTACTGTTCTGGTGGATTCAAGCAGATGTGAAATCACCCATCCCTGATCAAGAGGTTCAGGGCCTCTCTCCTTCGACCAGTACTAGTAGACCTGAGATCAGTACTATCCTACTGTGCACCTGGAATTTTCTCTTTGCTGGGAATTTGGGAAAAGTAAGAGAAGGGCAGGGGATAGATACTTCCCCCATCCACATACCAAAACTGTCACTGGGATGGGGAAGAGACATACGCCACAGAAGACTAGAGGTCAAGTGAGAAGCAGAGAAAGTGGGAGGTAAGCCAAGATAAGATGTGCCCACAGACGGAGCAGATGGCACAGATGACAGCAGGGCCTCCTCGCAAAAGCTTAGTTTAAAAAAAAAAGCCTCCCGTTTAGGGAACTCCCACTGTATTTCAATGGCCCAAACACTGTACCCCACAGGAGGATCCCCACAGCACGCTGGTATGGTGCTGGGCACAACCGGGGCTCACACATGCTTGTTTACAGCTGGGGATATGGCTGGCCATTGTCAAGTCACTCAGTTAAACTTGTTCACTCTCGCCAATTTAACAGTCTACTCCAAGCCTGGTTCATGTGGAATCCAACAGAACATGATCCCATGGCCTTAGGAGTCTTGGAAGCAGAGAGATGCTGTTGGCAGTCAAATGTGGACAGAAAGGTGAGTGCTCCTAAAACTAATACTTGCTGGTAAACTCAACTCCGGTTTCAGGCATGGGGGGGACCCATCATCTCAGCAACCACCTCGCTTTGTCCTCTGTGGTTTATCACTGGTGCCGGTCATGGCACACTTGTGCTTCATGTTTCATCCACATGGCAATCTGTTTCTTCCCTGAGTTCTTTCAAACCAAAGAAAGACGTATTAGCAAGTGGGATCCTCTGAAAGTTAGCCATCTTCCCAGCTACTCTTCCTACTTGTGCAAGGGTTCTGTTTTGTATCTATGGCTACAATCCCAAGAGGAGCGACCATTTTTAAGCAGAGAAGTCCACCAGCTGTACTTGGTACTGTACTACACGACAGAGCAGAAAACCACCACTCAGTCACTGACATCATTTCAGCAAAGAAAGGGAACACCGAGGAGTAAACAGCTAAGTGGAAGTAGGAATGCTATCCCTAATGCAACTGTACATTTATGCAGCTTAGAAAAGTCAGAAAAGGGTCAAATCATACAAAAGCTCTGAAACAGAGGAACTTGAAAATTCAAGCTGTTAAAGAAGAAAAGTATGTGCCTTTTAACCCAGAGCAATGGGAGTTCACACTATACCCATCTAGGCTCTCAATCCAGTCAGAAGAACAGTTATTCCTACGCAAGAGAGACGTGGCCTATCTCCACCTTCAATCAATCGATACAAGATCCCAGTGGACCACCCAATGAATACAAAGCACTATTTTGAGAGCAGAATCTAAGAAATGACAGAATGCAAGTGATGACACTTTCCCCACGACCCCCACCCCTCACCCCCACTGTCAGAACAGAAAGAAAAGGCAGTTGGCTGCTTCGGGCAAGGCCGTGCAGGGTGGCTGCACCTTGTGAGGTCAGGAAAATCCAAGGTCTGGTCCTCAGGTTTCGCAGATTCAGAAACTCGACTTTAGAAGTTCACCCAGGGGTGACTGTACCCTAGAAAATTGATTCACGCTAACCAAACTCACAAGAGACTGATTCATAAACCAGAATGCCAATTTATTAATTTACAGTGAGAAATGTAACTGCCAAGCAGACCGGAATACTTGTGTCGGCTGGTCAGCGCATTCTCTTCCCAGTAGGAGAGCCTGGTTGGGAAACCAAATTAGTATCAGAAGGTGGCTTGGTGAGTACAGAATCAGAACAAAGGGAGTAAGGTGAACTCAGGGAAACTATCACCAAGCTAAGGTCGTGTAATGCAGCTTTATTAGTAGGAAATACTTGCCAAGCAGATTAAAGTATCAGGTAACTGAATGGGCACCCTGTCCCCTGGACAGTGCTGGAGAAATATTGTTAAACTCTTCTTTTCCAACATGCCTTTTGGTTGATTTCTTACAAAGCACCCTTCCAGCCCATGTTTATGATGAGATTATAGCCATCTTTACAAACATTACCTGCACGTTAGGGCGGCTGCTTGTTAATTTATAAAGAGCACATGTTACAATTAAGCCCATTCACTTATACACTGATTTTTTACACAAAACCACATAATTTAAAGTTGACAGGAACTTTAAACATCATGTATCTATTTCAGAGAGGGGAAGAGGCCCTAAGCGGTACAGTGACTTCCCCAAGGTCACACAAGGAGTCAGTGGCAGAACCAGACTATAACTGGAACCTACCTTGCAGCACAGTGCTCTTTTTTGTACACAGCCTCATTTTTGGGTCTACTAATTGCCCATGCCACCACCCACAACCACCACCACCACCCCCCCCCAACTCCTCCACGCTGGAGGCAGAGCCCATACAATAGAAAACAAACCCGCACACAGAAAACAAACCCACAAAATTGCCCCCTTCATACAGATGGTCTCCACGTACCCCCTCTTGGGACTCGGACGCACTCACGTTTCCGAGCCTGTGCCTCAAACTGTGACAGGTTTTGCCGGGTGGCCGGCCTCACGTCCACTTTTTCTCCATTAAGAACTTTTCCTGGAAGGAGTTCCAACAATTTGTGGACAGAGTTTTCAGAGGCTACCACCACCTCAGCATACCTTGGGGAAGAAAAATTAAAAATGAGTGAGATCTACTAGTCAAGCAAGAGAGGAACAAAGAAACTCTCTTCCACTTTTAGTGAAAATGGGTAAAGCAAAAATACCTTGCTAATACAACATAAACAAAACTAGCACCAATGAAAAGGTGTCAGTCTATCTTCCTATTATTTGGAATCAGAAATTAGTTCTTTTTGCCCCTCGATGGATGGACATTGTTACATTGCAGCCAGGTCCCCGTTCTAAGGTGGTCTGTCAAAACCAAGGCAATAACCTGGGCCAGGGGTCAGAGGGATTAAAATCCAGGGACAAAATACATCGCAGCTCTGTTATCCTAATGATGACAAACTAAACGGGACTTCTCAAATCCAGACCTCACCCTTTGGACTGGCCATTTGCTCGATTCTCTGCAAATTTCAACTCCACCACATCATAGACTCCTATAGAGCGAATAACCTGGATCAGCTGCTGGTCTGTGGTCCACTGGGGCCGGCAAGATGGAAAAGGAAGAAATGTCAACAGCTACACCCCCTCCCCACCTAGAATGTCCCAAACCCTTTCCCCAAACCTAGGATTCTAATCACAGCCATGACCTCCCACAGAAACCCAAGAGCCCACCAACAGTTCAATCAGCGCAGGCTTTTTAGATTACCCTCACCCACCCAGAATTCCAAAGCCCCCCACTCCCCTCCCAATCCCCATCTTTTAAGATTAAGAAAATTAAAACCTATTTTAACTTTGACCGCCATTTGGGCTGCCTGGTCGTCAGTTAAAACAATGATTACTAACAGCTTTTAATGAGAGACCTGACAGGCTACAGTTTGACCACTGTCAGGAACTTTTCCCTCAGTATGTCCATTTCCTAATTTGGACCCTCCCTCCACCAGCCCCAAAACATGTCTGTCACCAAAGAACTTTTGCAGAACAACAATCGCCACCTACCCTGAATATACTAGAACTATCAAGGTCTTTGATCCCTGTCACCCATCGTTATCAAAGAGTTCAAGGTGTTCACTCTGAAATCTCATCCCACAGATGACCCTGCTAGACATAAAGCCCCAGGGTCAGGGGCATTAACAAGATGGCAGAAAAAGCAACTACCCACTTATTGCTTTCTTCGGCACCAGTACGTCCTCAGGATAGTTCTCTTTCAGAGATCAATCCAACCTGATCCCAGGAAAAAGAAATCCAACCCCATCAGAGCACAAAACAGTGCAACAGTGGTTTTTGAAAATGCCATCACCTCCCAGCGCTCTCCCTCCAGCCTACCCAGAAGGCTTTGTGGTTCCCCATGCTCACCCAGGAGAAGCTGCCCACGTAGACAGCAGCTCGCCTATTGCGGAGGCCGCTGTACGTGTACAGGATCGCAGGACTCTTGTTATTGGGCTTGGGAGACGGCTCCTGGCGAGCAGGAGGAGGTGGCTCAGTGCTGCTGCTTCTATCATCTGAGGGCTGGGAGGTGGCTGTCAACACGTCATCATAGAGGTCAATCTGATCTGTATTGTTGAACTCTGGGTCCTAAGAGATGGGTTGGCAAAGGTGGGTTTGCAGACCTTCCACTGGATTTATTCTGTTTCATTCTAGTTTACTTAGAATCCACAGTCAAATACTTCCTAAACAACATACAAAAACTTCCCTGTTCTAGTCTAGGAAACTAGGCAAGAATAATTTTTCACTTAAAACCATTTCACTGAATTATGCTTCTGTAGGTTTTTCTCTCAAGACCCTGTTAGTAGTCTGCAATGTTTCCAGCTTCAGCCAACTGTAAGAATCAAAAGGTACATGATGATTACAGAAGCAAACTAAGAATGCATAAAGATGCACCTGCTACTGTTGTCAATGAGGTCAGCTTCTGAAGGGCGACATCTAAGCGTAACGAAGACTTATTTTCCACATCTTGTGCTATTTCCAAAATCAAGACTTACAGAAAACTTACTACTCCATTTAATGAGAATATATTCATCTCGAAATAAAAAGCAGGGGGAAAGCATATTAAAGTGAGAACCCAGAATGCAAAAAAAGAATCAGAGCTACTGGTTTAAACTTTCAGATTTACACAAATGACTCAGAGAAGCTCTAAAACTCAACAACCCATCTTTCTAGTAACCATCAAAGAAACATTTTTAAAAAAGGGAAAATACTCTGGAAGATTTTCCCTTACTATTTCTCAGATGATAATGCAGCTCCAATATATTACCGTGACTCTTAATAAATAAGAGATTTTTCAGAGCAACAGCAGAGATGTTCAAGGATACACAAAAATAGTGAAGTTCTCTTCAATCTAAGGGTCAGAAAAAAGGACAAACACCCACACCAAAAGCTATGCCACAGTAAGCATTTACAACGTGAACGTGTACTCCAAAAACACAATACGAAGTATACTTTATGTGTTATGTTTACTTGTTTATTGCTATCATGGGCTGAATTTGCCTGTTCCCACAAAAATGCTATGTTGGAACCTATTCCCCAATGTGATGGTATCAGGAGGTGGGGGTCTTTGGGAAACAATTACAATTAGACCAGGTTTTGAGGGTGGAACCTCATCAAGCCAAGAGCTTGCTTGCTCTGCTCTGCATCCATGAGGACACGAGCTGGCATTGTGCAACCTGAAGAGGGCCCTCTCTGCCGCCCAAACCTGACTTCAACCTTCCAGTCCCCAGAACCACGACAAGTACATCTGTTGTTTATAAGCCACTCAGTTTTTGGTATTTTCTTATAGCAGCCAAATTAACACCATATACCCCAAATCCTAAAACCGTAAGAGCTACTACCAGGAAATCTTAATGTTTCAGATTTGTGATGTCATCTCAAAGAGCTCTCTTTATGTTCCGGATCGAGAGTATTTTTCAGGAAATATTCTGAAACATCCCAACAGTGCTAAAGATGCTGCCGAACTGACAGAGACACACGTTCCAAGTGTTTTAAGGGAACTATAGCTCACTCACGTCATTGCTGTATTTTTAAAAAAGGAATAAAGGAAAAACCTACATTAAGTAACTTGTCTAGTTCCCTGAAGAAAGGGAGCACTTCCTCCGATGCAACTCAAGATGGGAAGCTCCAGTAACTTTCTCTGTTCGATTCCATCATAAGAACTGTAGGTTCTAAAGTGAGACTAGAGAGGGGACTCACTACAAAACTCATTCCTAGGCCTATATAACATCGCATGCTTCTGGAAACCATCTTTCAGTTTCTCAGTTCATCTCAAGTACAATGGAAGAACGTGCACACAAAAATAGCATTATCACTGTTCTGATAGTCAAGGGGAAAGGATTCTACTTCCTGAGGCAAAGAATAATTTCAAATACTACAAATTCTCTAAAAAAAACCCACAAGAGAGGAGTTTATACCTTGTAAAAATATCAGAGAGAATGGCAAAAGAGACTAACCTTTTTAGAGGGAATTTAAAAACAAGAAAGGGGGGGGGCAGTGTGGAACCCAGGTGGCTCCGTTGGTTAAGAGTCAGACTCCTGGTTTCCACTCAGGTCGTGATCTCAGGGTTGTGCAATCGAGCCCCATGGGCTCTACACCCAGCGTGGAGTCTAACTGAGATCGTCTCCCTCTCCCTCTGACCCTCCCTTGCTCGTGTGCTCTCCCCCTCTAAAATTAAAAAACTAAAATCTTAAAAAAAATCAAACAAGAAAAGGAATCAATGAAGACAAGTAAGCACAGAAAGACTGTTCTATGTAGTCAAATTACAAATAAATAAGCATCTTGGATAAAAAGAGTATGTAAAGAAAAGGAAGAGAAGAGAACATCAGAGAGCACAGGGTGGATAATAAATTAAGTGAAGTGCTAAAAACTTGACAAATACAATGAGTGTAAAATACTTCATAGCCCTTTTGTCTCAAAGAACTGCAACTTTAAACAAAATCATTTACTCACTTATTCATCGAGTAGGGATGGGGATATGCCTTATGGGTAAAGGAAAAAGAGGGAAACCACTGGATCCTCTCTGATGTTCTAATCCTTAGAGAGCACTACTTCACTCCAGGGCACTTTTTAAATTTAACTCAAGGATTCTGAAGTAAAACATAAAGGGGAATAAAGAAACACACCATTTTGGATACTCAGTGCAACCAAACTGGAATTCCTTCCAGGCAGTATCTGGGATTCAGAGACGTGTGTCTAAAATTTATAATACCAAAATTACCACTGATAATTGGCAGTGAACTAACACGCAGATCTGGACAGCTCAGAGACCACACACATCACCAGGAAAACTCCCATACTGCAAGCCTATGCCAACAATCTACTCTTTCAGAAACCCTTAGAGAGCACGAAAGACTCAAGTCCTGAAAAACCTTGTATATGGATTACCTTACCACTTTAAGAAGCACAAAAGGATTCAATGAATCCAAAATTGTCACAAGATTCAAATGGTTTCTCTGGGCCATAGAACCTCGGTTCAAAAAAGTTGGTGGGAACTGTTCTGATGCACAGAGCAGGCCTGTTGAGGAGTCTGTTGAAGAAACAACGTATCAAGTTCTGTTTGGATTTAAATCTACTAGCAACACCAATGCATTTTAACTTCTTCAGCTGGTAAAACAGAAAAACAGGTTAAGGGCCTGAGGTTTTTCTGATTACCATATATGAGCTGGTGGATTATGCAGTGTTGGATTAGATTAAAGCAAAATCTAATTCTACAAATTAAATGAAAAATACAATGTTTTACATGCATTGATGCTGAAGGTTTCATTCCAGGGAGATTAAAAAGTAAGTATGTATTTAAAACTAAATGAAAATCTCAAGAAAATTTTGTGTTTAATAGCATAGAAAGAATTAGGACTGTCTCTTAAACCTTTTAGATACAAAAGAACTTACGCAATTTTGAATTTAAATAAGAACTTCTCCACCTGTATGCTCAGTGTTTCTACCTTCCAACCCCCTTTTCCTGATATCTGAGGGAAGTAAGAAAAGCTAAGATTTATTGTTCTCAAAGCCACCTACCTGATACCATTGTTCTTCTAATTGTAACAAAAGCTCTAGAAAAGCTTTTGGCTTTATAAGGACTATGTCTAGTCCTCACCTTATGCCCTCCTTCCCTGCCATCCACTGTCCTCAACTACCAGGAATGGAACCTCTTTTGAACACAGGGATCCATTTCGTCCCTGTTCGCTCACTAGTCCTGACACTAACAGAAATTGCTCAATAAGTACTCATTGATGAAGTGGCAAACAGAATTGGGCAATGTGCAAAGCGTCTCCCTTAAGAGGCTAAACACTCAGTAAAGTGGCAGCTCTCACTTTTTCAAAGTGCTTCTCCCCAGTCCAAGAGAGCAGCTGTGAATTTCAACTCTGAGTGTGACAGGAGTAAAGCAGCTCTGCAAAAGAGGCTTTTACAGCCTATATCATAAGAGATCAGGGAGCCAGAACCACAGGGTTCTGTCCAGGGACTGTGTTCATTTTGCTTGGGGAGCAGAGTACATGTGACAGGGTTCTCGTGCATGGGTCGGCTTGGAATGAATCCTTAATATTCCTCAAACATTCTAAAATACAATCTGTACTGGCTGCCTTCAGTCTACCCTTGCTTTTAACAATCCCCGCCAAACAGAACTTAAGTCATTTCTTTAGCAGCCTCCAAATTACACTAAATCCAGCTCTACCAAAAATTAATTCACTAGGAGTGATGGGGGGTGAGCAGTGGGCGGAACCCCTCCTGGACCTTCCACAAATGGACATAAAACATTCAAAATCTATACTTCTTTCACCGTGCCAAGCATTAAATATTGTCTGTTCAGTATAAATGTCTACTAGATTCCACATGCCATCTCTGGCCTATCTTAAACTCACAAAAAAGCCTTTTCTAACTGAAGAGATATAACAAATTGAGGCTGATGACTTCTATCCTCACAAAACAGTGACCACTAGACAAGGCCTGTGCCTTGACTAGAACCTCCAACTTACACTGCTTAAGAAATGATGGATTTCCATTTTTTCAGACCAAATGTGGCTAGACCTGCACCATTCTGCCCATTTCTCAAAATGAATCAGCAGCATTGTTATCAACCCAGAAAAGGAAATTAAGGGGGGGGAAAGGGTTTTTATTATTAATAAATAACTACGAGAACCTCCTTTTCTTCCTGTCTTGTATTAAAAACAGAACAAAAGCAACCCACAACTTGTAAAGCGTAATAAAGATCTGATTCAAAGTAAACGGAAAACAGTGGTGTGTAACTACACTCCTATACTAAATCTTTCTTTTCATCCATAATTACTTGACTTGTTTGAACTTAAGTTTTTTTCCATATATTTAGGTCAACTGGTAGTCACGTGTAGAGGACTCAGTTTACCTGAGGAGACCTGGGAAAATGGCAATTAAACAAATTAACTGGTGACGCTGGTGGGTACAAGCTCACTATACTGTCCCACTTTTGTGTTCTAAAATCTCCACGTTAAAACAGGACAATGTGTTTTTTGTTAAATGTATACTTGTGCCAAGTAAAGAAAATGACATGTATAAAACCTCTATTGGCTTGTATAAAAGTCAGGGTCTAACCAGGGGACTTTCTTTCTCTAATCTTTTTATCCTCTTTCCAGGTCCTTATGTATACCCACTGAAAGATCCTAATGGGAAGAACCAGTTTAATCAAGTAAAAATGGGACTGAAAACAATCTGGGTAAGATAATTATCAAGTTTTAAAGAGACTATGGAACATTCTTCAGATTGACCTCAGTATGTTAGATTATCATTTCAAGGGAAATCACTACATAATGTTCCTTAACATAACATAGAGCAACCAACACATCCAGGGTATATAAGGGGGTCTACAAGTGCTTTTTAACTGGTTTATCCAATACCTTTACCTCTACCCTCAAAACAATTGGATTCACCAATAAAATTTATTTCACCAAAATGCCTATGTACCTCTTAAGACTAGAATCAAACTACTTAGAGAAGGAAGAGAGACCCAAAACAGTCAGAATGAAGCTGCGATTAAATGCTAAAGTACATCTTATACTGTGTTTTTGCACGATCTTATGGAGAAGAGGACTAAATTTCTCTAGCTGCCCTTTCAAAGCATCGAAAACGGGGGTGCCTGGGTGGCTCAGGGCGTTAAGCCTCCTCTTGATTTCAGCACAGGTCGTGATCTCAGCTCTGCACTGGGCAAGGAGCGCTTAAAAGTCTCTCCCCCTCTCCCTCACAAAAGAAAAAAAAAAAAAAGATCTGCAAAGGAACAGGTATGAACACTGTCCTCATGAATACTACAGCAAACGTTAAGTGTGATTTTTAAGTGTGGTTAGTCTTTGAGGAGACTGACACCCAAGTTTGGCCTCCTGGGGGAGCAAGTTCCACAGGTTGATTCACCATTCTATTAAACCTAATTTTTATTTGCTTTTAAAGCCTGTAAAATTAAGCCTTGGGAGCTTAAAATTAACATAAGCGGAATGATCAGACGTCTTGAAAGTCTGTGACAGAGTAAAATTTTAGACCCGATAGAGGGGATGTTCAGGCCTAGCAAGGCCTGCCGCAGCTTGGAACCGCTTCAAGTTTGACGAAAGTGATTCTTCAGCAGATCCAGGAAAATCCCAATGCTCCCGATGACCCCTCACCTGATTGAACTCCTCGTCAGCATAGATATCAATCAAGTCCACTCCTTCTGACATGGCTCCGGAAGGAAGATCGCGAGCCCGGAGAACGGACAAAGTAAGGAAGATGCCACTGCGGTATCCTGAAAGAGGCAAGAGTTAGAAGGCATGAGGGTCCCGGGCTAGGAGGAGAGCAATGGTTGCCAACCTCCCGTCTCCAGAGACGCAGCATCCCAGCAGCCCAAGCTCGGTCCACCCGCTCCGCTCCGCTCCGCTCCGCCCCGCCCCCGGCCTCGCGCCGCCCCTCGCTCTCCCAGGCCGGCGGGGCTCGCGGGGCTCGCTGCCCATCACCCTCGGGCCCGACCCCAGTTGCGCCGCAGCTGCCCGTGGCGCGACGGCAAAGTCCAGGCCTCTGCTCCTAGGGGCCCTGGGACGGCGCTGGGAAGAACGACGGCGGCAAAGCCCGCAGCCCCAGCCCGCTGCACCTGCCTAGGACCCAAAGCGGTCCCGGCTAGAGTCCCCGCGGGTCGTGGAGCTCCAGCCGCCTCCGCTCCCCACCCAGGCCTAGTCCTCGCCCCCAACTAGGCCCGCCCCGCTCCCTCCCCACAGACTCGGCCCCGCGCCCTCGGCCTCCTCCCTCAAAGGCCCGCACCACCCCGCGCCCGCCGACTCCGGCTACCCCAAACTCAACCGACCCCCTCCCAGTCTCAGCGCTGGCCCCGAGCCCTCTTCCGGCCCAGCCGGCCCACGGCCGCGCGCCCCCGTTACCGGGAATATGGCGGCGGCGGCGGCGAGTCCGGACTAGGCCCGAAGCGCGCGAACCGCTCTCGGCCCCAGGTCCCACCCCCCCTCCTCTGGCGTCACACGCACAGCCACTTCCGCAAGACGCAGGGACGCATCTTCCGGCTCAAGCCCTTCAGCGCAGAAGTCCGCACTTTAGGCGTCTGGAAGTTCCCGGAAGTGACCTGACCGTAGGCTTCCGGTGTGAGTCGGGAAGGATGGCGGTGGCTTCCACGTTTCAGGTTCTGCCACGGGTAAGGAGCGTAGAGATTTTAGGGGCCCGGGTGCTATAGTGGGGACTGAGTCTCGTCCACCAGCGCAGTCATGAAGACTGCGAGGAGCATCCAGCTGCCTGATAGCCCAGGGCAAGGGCAGAACCAAGGAGAGATCCGCCTTGCAACAGGAAATTTAGGTCACATCCACCCTTTTCTTAGCTCACTGTGTGCCTGTCTCGTGCGAGACCCAGTTCAGATTTCACCTGTTCCCCAGGTGGAGCTGGCTGCACCACCTCTCTGTGTTCTTCAGTCTGTTCTTTTGTCTAATACCTGTTAGAGATATTTCACATGTTAAGATAATTTTTTTTATTGTAGGCTTTTCACACTGCAACATCTCAGTACTACTCCGGCTGCTTCTCATAACTTTTGTGTGTGTTGCGTTTTCGTTTCAAGATATTTTCGAGTACGAGTTCCTCATTTCGAGTTCCCCTTTCGATTTCTTCTTTAACCCATGTGAACTATTGGTTATTCGTGAGCTACAGTGTGTTGTTTAATTTTCACATATTTGTGAATTTTCCAGTTTTCCTTCTGATGTTGATCTCAAGTTTCATGTCAGTGTGATCATTTGTATCATTTTAATCTTTTTAAATTTGGTAAGGCTTGTTTTGCAACCTTAGATAAATAGATAAGGTGATCTATCTTGGAGAATATTCCCACTCAAGGGTGCTTGAAAATAATGTCTTCTGCAGCTGTTGGGTGAAATGTTCTGTACATGTCCGTTTTGGTCCATTTAGTCTATATTGTTATTCAGGTCTTCTCTTTATTGATATTCCGTCTAGATGCTCTATTACTGAATGTGGAATATTGAAATCTTTTTTTATTGTATTGCTGTTTATCTCCCCTTTCAGTTCTGTCAGTTTGCTTCATATGTTTGAGTGCTCTGATGTTGGTTGCATATATATTTATAATTGATTTATATTTCTGGTGCATTTACTCTGTTACCCTTACTCTTATCATTATATGATAATGTCCCATATCTCTCCTGGTAGTTTTTGACTTAAACCCTGTTTTTTGTTTTTTTTTTTTAAGATTTTATTTATTTATTTGACAGAGATCACAACCAGGCCGAGAGGCAGGCAGAGAGAGGGGGGAAGCAGGCTCCCTGCCAAGCAGAGAGCCTGATGCGGAGCCTGATCCCAGGACCTCGGGATCACCACCTGAGCCGAAGGCAGAGGTTTCAACCCTCTGAGCCACCCAGGCGCCCCTTAAAGCCTGTTTTGATTGACATAAGGAGGGCCATCTTTGCTCTTTGGTTACCGTTTGTATGGGATATCTTTTTCATCCTTTTGCTTTCAACTTGTGTATTCTTCCATCTAAAAGAAGTCTGTAGTAACAGCATATATTTGGATCCTGTTTTTTAATCCATTTAGCCACTCTAGTGTTTTGGTTGGAGTTTATTTCGTGTGTGAAATAATTACTGATGGAGAACTTATTGCCATTTTGTTCATCGTTTTCTATCCGTCATATAGCTCTTGTGTCCCTTTTTTCCTCACTTTCTGTTACCCTTTGTGTTTCATTGTCGTACCCCCCTCCCCGTGGAGACAACGTTTAACCCCTTTCTCATTTTCTTTCTTTCTTTTTTTTTTTTTTAACATTTTATTTATTTGGGTGCCTGGGTGGCTTAATGGGTTCAGCCTCTGCCTTCGGCTCAGGTCGTGATCCCAGGGTCCTGGGATGGGGCCCCGCTGAGCCCAATGCGGGGCTCGATCCCAGGACCCTGGGATCACAACCTGAGCCGAAGGCAGAGGCTTTAACCCACTGAGCCACCCAGGCACCCTGACCCCTTTCTCATTTTCTATTATGTATCGTCTATGAATGTTTTATTCTTGGTTACCATGGGGCTTACATAAAACATAATAATCTATTTTAAGCTGTTAATAATGTAACTTCAATTACATACCAAAAAGCCTACCCTTTTACTTCACCCTGTTTACATTGTTGATGTCATAATTACATACTTTTTTTTTTTTAAGATTTTATTTATTTGACAGAGAAAGAGTATACAAGGAGGCAGAGAGGCAGGCTGTGCAGAAAGCCGGATGCAGGGCTCGATCCCAGGACCCTGAGATCATGACCTGAGTAGAAGGCAGAGGCTTAACCCACTGAGCCACCAGGCGCCTCTCTCTATATATTTTTTTAAAGATTTTATTTATTTATTTATTTATTTAAAAAGATTTATTTATTTGCGAGAGAACACACATGTGTACAAAGGTGGGGGTGGGTGGGGAGGAAGGGGCAGAGGGAGAGGGTCCCAAGCAGACTCTGCACTGAGTGCAGAGCCCCAACACAGGGTTGGAATTCAGGACCCTGAGATCAAGACCCAAGCAGAAATCAGGAGTCGGTTGCTTACCCAACTGCACCACCCAGGCACCCCCACAATTACATATTTTTGTGTTGTATATCCATGAGCCTATGTTTTTCTATTTCAACTTTTATACCAGAATTAAAAGTGATTTACGTACCACTATTATAATATCCTATATTTGTCACATATTTATCTTTACCCATAATATTTATATTGGTTTGCTTGATGATGTCATAAGTCCCTTGGGCGCATTTCAATCTTTTTCATTCTTCTTTTTCTTCCTCTGATTGGGAAATTTCAAATGACCTGTCTTTGAGTTCACTGATTATTTCTTCTGCTTGATCAAGTCTGCCGGTTAACCCCCATAGTGAATTTTTTTCATTTGGTTATTCTATTCTTTGGTTCCAAAATTTGTTCGGTTCTTTTTAATATTTCTTCCTGTTGATATTCTGTTCATGCTTTCTTTTCTTTTTTTTTCTTTTTTGAGCTCATTGAACATTTTGATGACCGTTGTTTTGAATTCTTTGTCAGGTAATTCATATGCCTCTGTTTTTTTAGGGCCAGCTTCTAGAGATTTATTTTCTTCCCTTGACTGGGCCATGTATTCCTGTTTCTTCATGTCCCTTGCAACTCTCTGTCAGATCCACACTTTTGAAAAAAGTTACCTCTCCTAAGTCTTTGTGGACTGGCTTTGTAGAAGAACAGACCTTCACCAGTCAGCTTGGCTAGAGATTCCAGGAGCCTGTCAGACTTCTTGCATGGATAGGTCTTCTCTAGGCTTATGCATGTGAATTCCCATTTGGAAGGATTTGCTGGCTCTTTTCAGGAATCTCTTACCTGGTTTCTAGATTTCTCATAAAGGGAGTTGGTCCATGTATTGTTGAGTTGGTGTCTCTGTGAGAAAAGGAGAGTGTGAGGCCTCCTGTTCAGTCATCTTGCTGGTGTCACTACCTTCTCATTGCATTTTGATAGGTTTTGCCCTTCTCCAAAATCGGGAGCCTGTGGAGGATTAGGAACCATGCCATCACTGTATGCTCAGATTGCAACACAAGCGAGTGACTAATATATACCAGTCCATAAGAATCTTAAGGGGCGCCTAGGTGGCTCAGCGGGTTAAAGCCTCTGCCTTCAGCTCAGGTCACGGTCCTAGGGTCCTGGGATCGAGCCCCACATCGGGCTCTCTGCTTGGCAGGGAGCTTGCTTCCTCCTCTCTCTCTGCCTGCCTCTCTGCCTACTTGTGATCTTTGTCTATCAAATAAATAAATAACATCTTTAAAAAAAAAAGAATCTTAAGGGAATATAAAGGAAGGAGAAAATATTTCTGCTGGAGAATTTCTGGAAGGGTGTTAAGTTAAGAATACATTTGCGGTTAGGGCTGGGTTCCAGTCCTAACTGCATTTACTATCTGGGTGACCTTGGTAAGTTATTTAACCTCCTGAGACTCCGTTTCCTGTGTAATAAAGTGGGGACAGTATCAACATAATTTCGTAAGAACTAAATGAGATTGAGTGCTTTAGCACCTAGTTAAGTGTTGAGTGAATGCCAGCGATGTTAGTCCTTATAAAGGTGTTTGTGGTTTATTTCAGATGCTTGCTCTGTCAAGGCGCCATCTAGTGTCTCCTTTGCTCAGCACACCATCATTCAGCCGTTTCTACAGAGGTGACAGCCCAACAGATTCCCAAAAAGACATGATTGAAATCCCTTTGCCTCCGTGGCAGGAGCGAACTGATGAGTCCATAGAAACCAAAAGAGCCCGGCTGCTCTATGAGAGCAGAAAGAGGGGAATGTTGGAAAACTGTATTCTGCTTAGGTAGGGAAATACGAGACTTGGTGTCACTTTCTTTTTTACTGGAGATGGCTTTTTCATCTTTGTTTTCTCTCTTTCTTGTTTTAGCCTCTTTGCTAAAGAATATCTGCACCACATGACTGAGAAACAGCTGAACCTCTATGATCGTCTGATAAATGAGCCCAGTAATGACTGGGATATTTACTACTGGGCCACAGGTACTGGGCATGATCAGCAAGCAGCATGATGTGAAAAGTAGGATGGTTCACGCTGATTTGAGTCTGGAATTTTGTGTCCTCGGCAATTTTTTTCTTTTGTTCATGCAGTCAACACTCAACCCCAGCACTCTCCAAATTTTTCAAAGTGTGCAAAATGGTTTTATTAAAGTTCTTTGTTTGTAAGCAACAGAAACCCGTCTGACATAAGCAAAAAGGGAGTTTAGTGGAATGGTATGGAAAGGCAGAGTTACAGAAAAACCAGGCTGGGAAGGGGGAATGGTGTGGAACCCGACAGCTCTAAAGGCTGTATAGCAAGTGTTCCTTGATAGTCTAAATTACCTTTGGGAAGAACGGTTCTCACTGTTTATAGTTAGGATTAGCTTTGGCTGTCAGAGAAAACAAACAAACCAATAATAGCTTAAATAAATCAGGACTGTATTTCTCTCTCATAACAGCAGTCCAGAGGTAGGTATTCCATTCAGAAGTCATGCCGTGCAGATCCCCCAGATGGCCGTCATGTGCTGTCTACCTCATGGTTGAAGGTGGTTGCTGTGGCTCTGTCTGTCATGGCTTATGTTTCAGCCAGGAGAGAGTGTGTAGAAGCTCACACCTTATTTTTTATGAGTCCTCAGAAGATTATGCCCCACACTTTCCCTAGTTATCCCTTGCCCACGGTTCAGTCACATGATGATTTTTAGTCAGGATGAAAAAATAATATAGTCTGTTTCATGCATTCAGTTACATTGGGGGTTCTGTTATCAAGGAAAAATGGGAGAATGGATATTAGCGGACATCTCCTCCATTTCTTTCACACTCCGGCTCTTCTGGTTTTAAGTTTCCAGCCCAGATTTGAGTCATAAAATAGAAACCATTCTGTAGGTTCTGAGCGTAAAGTATGATAATACAATCTTGAGACTTACATAGAGATCGGAAAACCCACAAAGTGTAAATATTTACTCTGCGCTCCCTTAGTGTTGTTGAGTAAAATTCCATCCTATGAATGTGCCTCACTGTTTGTTTATCCGTTGACCAGGGGAGGGACATCAGGTGTTCCAGTTTTAGGCGATTATGAGTAAAGCCACTATAATCATTTGCATATAGCTTTTTGTGGGTGTAGGTTGCAGTTTTTCTTGGGTAAAAACCCAGGAGAAGGGTCACTGAGTCATATGGTAAGAGTTAAGACAAACTTACTCTATAATGGAACAGGGAGTAAATATGTGCAGACCACATGGTCCTTGTCTTGAGTCTTCCACGCCTGTGGCTGGAGCCTCCAGGCTGCCATTGCTACAGTGTTGCAATAACATTTTATTGACAGACATTGAACTTTAAATTTCATAGAGTTTTCATGTGTCACAAAATACCCTTTTGACTTTTTTCCTGAACCATTTAAAAGTCATTCTTAGCACACAGGCCATACAAAAACAGGCAGCAGGCCATAGTTTGCTGACTCCTCTGTTAAGTGAAAGAGACCAGACTCAAAGTCTGGCCATACGTACTATATGATGCCATTTTTATGATGTTCTGGGAAAGGGCAAAACTATAGGGGCAGAAGACAAATTTGCCATTGTCAGGGACTAGATGTGAAGTTCCCCGTCCTTACCAGCACTTGGTATTATCAGGATTTTATTTGTTTTTGTTTTTAGCCATTTTAAGAAATAGGCAGTGATATTTCACTGTAGTGAATTGGCCTGGCCCTGATGATTAAGGATATTGAGGATCTTTTTTAAGTGCTTCTTTGCCATTCCTACATCTTTGTTCTTACGTCTCTTCAGGTCTTACCCCACCTTTGTTTTTACCTTGAGTTGGGTTGGTTCATTTTCTAACTGAGGTTTGAGTGTTCGTTGTGTCAGATTGAAATTCTTTATCAGGTGCGTGTCTTGGAAATTTCTTTTTCCTTGCTTATGGTTTGTCTTTGCATTTTCTTTTTTTTTTTTTTTAAAGATTTTATTTATTTATTCGACAGACAGAGATCACAAGTAGGCAGAGCAGCAGGCAGAGAGAGAGGGGGAAGCAGGCTCCCCGCTGAGCAGAGAGCCCGATGTGGGGCTCGATCCCAGGACCCTGGGATCATGACCTGAGCCGAAGGCAGAGGCTTAACCCACTGAGCCACCCAGGTGCCCCTGTCTTTGCATTTTCTTAACATTGTCTTTCACAGAGCGATTTTTAATTTTGATGAAGTACAGTGTTTTCTTTGGTACGTTAGTGGATCGTGCTTTTGATATTGTGTCTAAGAATCTGTTTTATCTGAATTCACAAAGATTTTCTCTGTTTTTCTTCTTGGAATTTTATAGTTTTAGAATCACCTGTTGAGTTTCTCAAAAAAAAAAAAAAACAGAAAAACAAAAACCTACTCGGGTTTTGATTGGAGTTGTGTTAGAACAATAGATCAGATTCTTCTAGCATTGAGAATTGTCTAATCTATCACATGCCATATCCATTTATTTAGATTTTTGACTCTCTTTTTTACATTTATTTAATATCTTAAAATTTTATTTTTCTGAGATAGAGGGTGAGCGCACAAGCTGGAAAGAGGGGCGGAGGGAGAGGGAGAAGGAGACTTCCTGCTGAGCAGGGAACCCAATGCAGGGCTCAATACCAGGACCCTGGGATCATGACCTGAGTGGTAGGCAGATGCTTAACCGACTGAGCCATCCAGGTGCTCTCAGGTCTTTGACTTCTTTAATTAGCATATTATCTATTGTTGTATAACAAATTACCCCAAAACTTACTGGCTTTAGACAAACCCGCCCTTATTATCTCAGCCTTTCTGTGGATCTAGAATCCAGTCATGGCTTAGTTGGGTGCTGTGCTCTACTCTGTCACAAAGTTTCAATCAAGGTGTCAGGCTAGGGTCTGGGGTTTCATCTGGAGGCTCAGCCCCGGGAGGATCTGCTTTAAGTTCTCTCTGGTGTTGGCGCAGTTAAGTGGCTCACAGGTCCCCACCTGCAGGCCCAAGTTCTTTGCCGGCTGTTGCCTAGAGGCTGCCTTCTGTTGCTTGTCACAGGGGCCTCTTCCTGCTTGGAAGCTTGCTTCTTCAAAACATGCAAGCTGAGAAGGCAAGAGAGGAGTCTCCTAGCAGGAAGGAAGTCTCAGTGTTTTGTAACCTAGTCACGGAAGTGACATTGTGTTGTCCTTGCTGTGTTCTGTTGGTTAGAATCGAGTCGTTAGGTCCAGCCCAGGGCAGGGAGTAGGCATGAGAATCACGCAAGAGCATGATAGAGGTGCAGGTCTTGGGGGCCATCCTAGAAGCCTAACTGCTACAATCTGTAGTTTAAGCGTATTTTGGAGATATTTTGCTGGGTTTGTACCTAGGTGTTTCATATACTTTTGTGCCATTATAAAGGGTACTTTAAGAGAAATTTTCAATTTCCCATTGTTGGTAGAAAGTATAAATACAATTGATTTTTGTGTTCTGTATACTCACTCAGATCTAGAAGCTGTTTTGTAGATTCTTTGGGATTTTCTGTGTAGACAGCTGTGTCATCTGTGAACAGGGAAGATTTTCTTCTTTTCCAGTCTGTATTAAACCAACCTTGCCTTCTCATGGTAAACATCACCTGGACTTTTGCTTGATTGATTTCATTTGATTGATTTCATTTGCTGGTCTTTTGGAGATCTTTGTATCTGTCTTCATGGGGGTACTGGTGTGTAGTTTTCTTGTAAGGTTATCTGGTTTTGATCAGGTTAATGCTGGCTTCATAAAATGAGTTATGAAGTGTTCTTCTCTTCCATTTTCTGGGAAAGTATATAGAGTTGGTATTATTTAAATATTTGGTAGAATTTGCTAGGGAAGCCTTCTGGATCTGAGGTTTTCTCTTTTGGAAGGTTTTAACTGTAAAGTCTAATTTTTTTTTTTTTTTAATAGCTATGGAACAATTCAAGTTCTCTGTTTCTTCTTACTTAGATGAGGTCCGTTTATTAGTGTGTCTTTAATAAATTTGGCCACATCACATAAGGCGTTAAGTCTATGGATATAAAGTTATGGTCATATTCCCTTTTTCTTTAAATGTTTGAAGAGCTGTAGTAAGGTCCCTCCTTTATTTCTAATATTGGTGATTTGTGGGGTTTTTTTCTTGGTCAGTGTAGCTAAAAGTTTATCGATTTTATTTATTTTTCAGAGAACCAGCTTTTGGTTACATTGTTTTTGCTCTATTTTTCTTTTTCTAATTTCATTGATGTCTGCTCTTTATTTCCTTTTTTCCTTCTTGTGTTGGTCTTAGTTTGCTCTTATTTTAGTTTTGTAAGGTGAAAGTTGAGCTCAGTGATTTGAGACCTCCTTTTCCACTGTAAGCATTTGATGCTATGGATTTCCCTCTAAGCAGTGCTTTAGTGTCATGTTGCGGATTTGGATCAGTTTTTCTCATTCATTTAATTCCTAATTTCCCTTCTGACTTCCTCTTTGACCCATGAGTTGTTTAGAAGTTTCTTTTCTTTTCTTTCTTTCTTTCTTTCTTCCTTTTTTTTAGTATTTATTTATTTGACAGCAAGGGAACACAAGCAGGGAGAGCAGCAGAGGGAGAGGGAGAAGCAGACTCCCTGCTTAGCAGAGAGCCTGACTCAGGGCTTGATTCCAGGACCCTGGAACTCAAACAGCTGAGCCACCCAGGCGCCCCTGGAAGTTTCATTCAAAATGAATGAAACTTACTAATTCCATTAGGACCCCAGAACTTAGGTTGTGTAGTTTCAGTTCTTTTAAGTTTCTTGAAATTTGTTTTATGGCCTGAACTATGACCGTGACACTTGACAAATGTCTCATGTGCACTTCTTTGAACATAACGTGTCTTCTGCACCTGTGGATGAAGTGCACTGTCAATGTCACCTCGGGCAGCTTGGTTGATGCCGTTCTTCCTGTTCTCGATGTTCTGACCGGTTTCCTCTGTACTTTGTTGATTAATAAGAGAAAAGTGTTGAAATCTCTAGTTATCTTGCAGATTTATCTATTACTCCTTTCAGTTCTCTGGTTTTCCTTCATATATTTTGAAGCTCTGTTTGTTTTTTTT